ACTGTCCTCTCTCTCCTGCAGAGTCTCTGGAGCTGATCGCCACAGCAGCCGAACACTCCAACGCTGCCATCAGGAAGATGGTAAGATACACATTCGACACCCGGAGCTGTGAGCCATAATCACCCCCGTCTGCCGCTGTTCACACCACATCACTCAGATAAATGTGGCCTGGGACAGATTAAAGCTCAACTTTTACTTCATCTTTAATTAAACTCTCCTGATTACACTCATTAACTGCCCGAAGCTCCTGGTAAACACGACTGCTGCTTCAAAGGTTGGTTTATACTTCAGGTTGAATCTGCCTGAAGGACGTCGGGTACCCAGGTGGGTTTGCAGAGGTCTCTCAGCGATGGCGTGATTAGCACGGTTAATGTAAACAAGAGCACGAGAAGCAGAAATGTGGATTCATGGAGTTCAGGCTGGTTTTTGCTGTAATGACTCAGAGGTCTGAGCTTCTCCACCTCCTCTCAGCGGGATGTTTGCCGTCGTCTCTAATCAGCTGTGACTGATTAAAGGAAAGCCGCTGCTGCTGATGTGAGCCGGTTTCACTCAGCTGACAGCTTTTTGGAGATTTGTGCAGGAGGCAGTGAGAAAACGCGGCATAATCAGACGAGGACGTGTGAGCGGCATTAAACAAGCTTTAGAGGGAAGCTAATACTCTACAGCCGCTCATGCATTCAGCTAGACAGAGCTTAACTTCTGGACGTTGGTTCAGACCCGATCACGGTTACCATGCTTACAGTTTTCATACTGCATTTCCTCCAACTTAGAAACCTGAGATGTACAGCTCAGATGGAGGGTTTGGACACAAAGTCAGAGGCAAAGCTCAGGTGGTTTGGACATGTGCAGAGGAGGGAGGGTGGACGTGTTGCTGAAGATGGAGCTGCCAGGCAGGAGGAAATGAGGAAGACCACAGAGAAGATGGATAGAGTTGTGGTGACCCCTAAAGGGAGCAGCTGAAAGAAGAAGAAGAAGAAGAAGAAGAAGAAGAGGGCAGTTCCTTCAACCGTTTTGCTGTGATTTGCCAGACTCCAGCTGTTTCCTTTCAGACAAACATCAAATATCTTTACAGTGTTTTCCATCAGGCAGTGATAGCAGATGACTCCAGACCAGTACATATTTGTAGCGTGTGCCCTCTCTGCACTTTAACCCCGTAAAGCCTGAACCATGAAATAAGATGGAACATTTTTGCTACATCTGGCTTTTGTTTTGCAGTTTGTTGCTCACAGTTTGTTCATCTGAAACAAAAACAAAAGGAGTTAGGGTTCGATGATGTAGATGTCTCAAAAACTCATGTGTCACATGGTGTTTTAGGGTTAAAACCTAAACTGGAAGCTGTAGAGTCACCTCAGAGGGGATCCAGACTTCCTGTAGAGAAACTCACTTCAGGATGTCAGGTCTCCCCGCTGACGACTCGCTGGAAACGCTAGAATATAGATCGAAAACTTTGCCTTCAGGCTCCACAGCTGTTCTAATAATCTCACAGTTTGCCTTTTGTGTCTTATATCTAATATTTAGGTTTCCAGTGAACTTAAAAAGCCCTAAAACCATCATGTAGCATCGGCAGGAACATTAACCGCTAAGTGATTCTTTTGTGTCTCTGCCAGGAGCGAATGAGGAAGCTGTTGAAGGTGTACGAGTTGTTGGGAGGAGAAGAAGACATTGTTAACCCAACTAACGAGCTCATTAAAGAGGGACACATCCTCAAGCTGTCCAATAAGAACGGGACCACGCAGGACAGATACCTGATACTGGTACTTCCCTGTCTGCGTCTGCTTCTCAGCGCTTTACAGAGTTCATAGGGTCATAGCAACAGTAATAACACCTGCCTCTCTCTGCAGTTCAATGACAGGTTACTGTATTGCGTCCCGAAGCTGCGTCTGATTGGTCAGAAGTACAGCGTCCGAGCCCGAATCGACGTGGACGGCATGGAGGTGAGATCTCCGGCGTTTCTCACTGAAGACGCTGTTAGAGTGTTTTTGCATTCAGCCTTCAAACACCTTAAACGCTCAGTAAAGTCAAGAATATTCATGTGATCTACAGACTGATAATAACTAGACGAGCTCTCGTTCAGTGTCCGAGCTTCATAAAGTTGACCTGGTGGGGTTTTGTATGTAAAACATGCATCCACCTCAGCTTTAACCGTCGAATAGACCTAACAATGATAAAGCGAGATCAGAGAGGATGATGAGCGTGCTCAGATTTAGCCTGAATGTTTTTAACAAGCTAACAGTGAATTTCCCGCCTGTGTCCTCAGCTGAAGGAGACGAGCAGCGTCGCTGTCGCCAGGACGTTCCTGGTGTCGGGAAAACAGAGATCCCTGGAGCTGCAGGCCAGGTACAAACACCCACAGAGACAGAAGCACACTCACTCCTGCAGGAGGACTCACTGTAATCACAATCTGTCTAAAAACACACTGAAGTTTGTTTCTCAGGTCGAGGTTTGCTCCTCGAAGATTTGACTGATTTTCTGTTGGCTTTGCAGGACGGAGGAGGAGAAGAAAGACTGGATCCAGGTAAGTGGTGCTGACGCAGCAGCGTAGATGATCCAATACCAGCACGTTAGAAACTGCGGAGGAACGTTTGGCTGCAGACGTGATGGGCTCGTGGTGTGCTTTCAGTCAGCAGTGGCGAGTACTGTGAAGCAGGCACAGGGTTTTGGCGTTAAAGCCTCTAGGACTGCGTTGTCAAACATAAGGTCTGGGGGCCAGAATCGGCCTGGCAAAAGACTCTAATCCGGCCCAACAGACATCTTTGAACAATACAAAAGAGGACTTTAATGGATTTTACAGCTTGTCCAACTCACAAAGATGCACCAAAGTACTAAAGTATCAGATAAACGATATAATTACAGGATAGTCTCGGTAACAAACGACCTGAACTTTTCTGTAATTTTATACATTTATGTTTTTTACAATTTAACCCCCAAAAGTTGTGCTGACAGATTTCTTTCATTATATATAATTACAGCAGCATTTATTTATTATGCTAAAATACTGAGACCGAGGCTGAAATCACACTTACATTTGTTATATTGAGTTATTGGAGGGATTAAGTGTGAAGATAAACTGACAGGAAGACGATTTGGCCCGCTGCTTTAGGGCAAATTTCAAATTGACTGATAGTAATGAAGGATTTTCTGCTTCACATGTGTTTTTTTAAATGAAATCCACCCTTTACTTTGTTTACATTCAGGCCATCCAGGCGACCATCCAGAGGCACGAGCAGACGATGGAGAGTTTCCGACACTTGAACTGTTCACTCCGAGACGATGACTCCACGCCGCCTCACTCTCCGGTAACACAAACACTCAGCGACAAAATTGACCCCCTGACACGAAGAGCGGAGTTCTCGAAATCCCAGAAATCCTTCAGTTGTGACTCACGTTCTCCCGTCTCTGCCTCTCAGAGCTGTGCCGAGCTGGGGAAACGAGCTCCGACTCCCATCAGAGAGAAGGAAGTGACTCTGTGCATGAAGTGTCAGGAGCCATTCAACTCCATCACCAAGAGGCGCCACCACTGCAAAGCCTGTGGACACGTACGTTCTTCATCCATAACATCTGCAACACCTACAGACAACTTAAAATCCACAGCACTGGACGACGCCGGCTGATGTTTGCAGCGTCTGCAACGCCAGTGTGATGTGTTACTGTTCCCAACACCAGCCCACATGTGTAGTGTCTGTGACATGTGCAGCATCCACAAACATCTGCAAACATCTGTAGCATCTGTACTACCTGCTGCTCACATTTATCGTACCCAGCATATCAGTATATGTCATACATGAGCTGATGTGAACATCTGTCGTAGCCCAACACCTGCATATTTGTAGCATCCACAGCACGTGTCTGCCAGACGTTTGTGGACTTTACACAGCGTTGTCATAGTTACCAATTGTGCGATTGTCTATGTCGACTCCAGGTGGTTTGTGGGAAATGCTCGGAGTTCCGCGCTCGCCTGTCGTACGACAACAACCGAGCCAACCGCGTTTGCATCGACTGCTACGCCACGCTCGTGGGCGTGTCGCCGTCTCCCGCCGGGCTGACCAGCAGCAGCCACAGAAGACGCTCCATCCTGGAGGTGAGTGCGACCACGCTCTGACGTCACCCGGCGTTCGCCTCTGTCAGATCTCCACGCATGGAGCCGTTTGCACACTTCAGGATTTCTCTTTTCAAAGATGCTCGACAGGTCAAGTGTTGCAGACAGCTGATTCTCTTCTCATCCATCTCTCGTTGCTATAGAAACAGGCCTCGTTGGCAGCAGAGAACAGTGTGATTTGTAGTTTTCTGCATCACATGGAGAAAGGAGGAGGGCGGGGCTGGCAGAAAGCCTGGTTCGTCATCCCCGAGAACGAGCCGCTGGTGCTCTACATCTACGGAGCTCCACAGGTACGCTATAAATGTACAATCATGTCAAATACATAAGAAGGCGCAGGAACCGGCTGCAGTTCATACAGGGGTCCAGCAGAGGTCGCTGCATCCCTGGATGGGAATGGAGATACATTTTTTAGCTGCACCTCCTTTCACCTCTGTCCTTTTCTTGTGAGCGCTCTGTACAAAACAGGAAATGCTGGGAGTTCTGGATTGTATTAGAAGCTCTCTGCTGGTATTGACAATCTGCAACCTTGCTAGTGCCCCCTACAGGCTTCTTTATTGATTACAGCCACAATATTAGCAAACACTGTCCTGCTGGAACATCAGCACCTCGTCCTATGGTGCCTTCCTGTTCCTGCCACCTGTTTTGCCATCTGTAAGTCAGAATTTCAAAGTTATTTCTCAGAAGTCTGATTTACTAAGATGTAGTTTGGAGATAATATCCCATAATTTTGATTTATGGATGATTTATTTTCAGTGGCAAAAAAAAATCTTCCATACTTCTGTGAGGTCACACTAAAGGTTCCTCCAATTTGTGTGACTCTGGTCAGGGAATGACTCTTTGTTTACATTATCAACCAATCAGAACAGCAGACAGAAAATTATGATGGTGACGGAGGCTTCCAGTTTCTGTTCTGACTGGTCTGGTCTTTGACGTTGGGATGAAATCGAATTACACCCTCAATGAACTCTATTTATTCTTTTTCCCACAGGATGTGAAGGCGCAGCGCAGCGTGCCTCTGATTGGCTTCGAGGTCTCTCTGCCCGAGTCGTGTGACCGCCTGGAGCGACGCCACGCCTTCAAGATCTCCCAGAGCCACCTGACCCTCTACTTCAGCGCCGACGGGGAAGAACTGCAGCGGCGATGGATGGACATCCTGTCCAGGGCCGGGAGGGGGGAGGAGCTTCAGTTCCACCGACCAATTGTGGAGAGTCTTGAGGAGGAGGGGGAGGAGTTTGCAGCTGTGGCAGAGGAAGAAAACACGTGATTCTGTAGGACAAGGAATGATGGCGATGATGAAGATGGGGGCCTTTAAATGAGGATCAGTTGGAAACCAGAAAACAAAACTGTTGTAGCTAAAATATCTCACACACACACACACACACACACACACACTCTGCTCTCTGTGTATTTAAAGTTGCGTGGTTCGTCTGCATGATTCCTCCCGGCTGTCCACACGAGTTGGCGTCTCTCACTCTTTCTCTCTGTCTCACTTCACCTTTTTCTAACCAGTGTTGAATCGGTGTAGTGGGCGGAGCCTCGCCTTTGAACAATCACATCACACTCATTCGAGTGTCCTGCGCCACCATTTTCTTGATTTCAGCACTCCCGCGAGCCTCAGCTTCATCCGGAGTTATGACATCACCGTCGCGTCCTATTTGAAACATTTCGTCCACAAAGACCCGAAAGAGAAACGATGAGAGCTGTAAGGAGCACGTGCACCATTATAGTAACAATTCAACATTTTTCTCCCTGCTGTCGCGCAAATAAACCAGAAGACGCCGCCTCTTGTTTGTGGCCACTTTTTGATACTTCACAGAATAAATAAAGATTCAGTATAAAAACGATCCGCACATGAATTGATGAGGACAAGCTTCTTACTTTCAGCTGCTGCAAACCCCGAAGCTCTCTGATTGGACGTTTCCTGGACTTGATCAACAATAAAGCACATCGAACCAACCCCACTGCAAGTCCTCCGCCGCCCACACTTTAAGTTCATGTAACTGGATTTCTGGTGAGAGTCTCTCGCTGGTTTGTAACAGGTTTGGTGACTGGGAGCAAATAAAGTCACATTTCCTCTACAAGTAATCAGAGGTGTTACTTCCAGGGACTCATGTTGAGAAACTTCACCCAGTGTGGGATAAAATCCTCGTTTCGATTTGGTTCCTCTGGTGGAAAAGCTGGTAGAAGAACTGAGCTCCTCAGCAGGCGTCACAGGAAATGGAAACAACTTTTAAATATGATGTGTCTGAGTCAAACAGCAAAAACAACGTTTCAGAACCACGTTAGTCTTCTCCTGATGTCGTCTCCTGCCTGGATTAATCCTCTATGAGCTCCTAAACATCCACACAACATGCAGAATGTGCTCCAGCATAAAGCAGAGGAAGAACCCACAAACTGCAAGTAAAAAAAATCCATATGAAGATTCAAAACACAGTTATTATTTTGTATAAACACAAATGTCTGACAAAACAGAGAAAATGTCAGGAGCGAGTAATCCGAGCATCCTTAAACCCTCACTTATAGTCAGATGAAAGCTGATTGGTTGTGGAAGTGTGACTCAGGTCCTGATTGAGAACAACAGGCTCCAAAGGTCAGACGTGTGAATCCCAAATGTAAGGTGAGGATGTGAATAAGCAGCAGGTTTCCTCCCTGCGTTAAAAAAAGAAGCTGAGCTAAAAAAGGTCGATGGTGGGAACAGCAGATTTGAAAAACAAAGGAAGAATTGGACCGATGTTTCCTTCATCGATGCACTTAAATGACTTTTGGATTTTTACCGCCAATTTACCCCAGTGAAGAAATTCTGGCTTTCAACTTTTCAACCAATTGGAGGAAAGCAGCATTTCCTCTTAGCTGAAGCTTTCCTGCCCTCTGCTGGTAAAGTCCGGAACTGCAGTTTTAAAAAAAAAATCACTGATCCTGTTCCTCACAGACCTGCAGAAAGTAGCTCAACGTTTGACGGTTTTATTTAAACTTCTCAGTCTGAGATATTTTTTCATGTATTTATTTCCTGAGAGGATGATGTTTGTTTCTCAGAGTTCAAACAGTTTCTTCAGTCCGACTAAAAAAAGAAAAAAGCTGAATCAGACAAACTGGAAGTTTCTTATATTTATTTATGCTTAACAACCGAAGAGGTGTTGTTAACCGTTCAGAGTCTTCTGCACAATAATAATATTATTAATAATAGTGAGTTAAATGTTGATGATTGATTTTCAGATTTTCTTTTGAAATTAGGATTTTCTGCTCTTGATCTTCAAAGGTTGGTATGAAAGGACTTTGTAGCTTTGTAACTCTTTCTGATGCAGATACAGTCTCAGTTAAAACGACTAAAAATAAACATTTTGACTTCACATGTTCTGATTTTGACATAATGCCCTAAATTTAATAGACAGTTCTGTTAATGTTTCATTATTTAATCCGACTGAGGTACAAACGCCAACATTTTAAGGTAACGCTTTGCATTCAGGAAAGAAAAGCCTTTCAAGGAGGTTCTCGTGTAAATATGATTCAGTTTTTATAATTATTAGGTATGTAAGTCATGTGGTCCTGTTAAACTACAACCTCCAAAATACTTTGCTTTTGTGAATGCAAAATGTCAAACATATAATTTAAAAAGAACAAAACTAGCTGCTCCCAGTGTCTGATTTTTGTTTTTTAATGGCAGTAAAATGAATATTTTGGAGTTTTAGATTGTTGATTCAGACATTTGAAGACTTGGACTCTGAGAAACTGACGTTTTCTGACTTTTATTGACCAGAAGATTTATACGATATAAAAAGTAATAATGGAAATAATCGTCCAATGAAAGGACTCTTACGATGATGTTTTTTGGATGTATAACGTTTGGATGTTTTTAAGGACAGAGTCTCTAACAGGTCCTGGACCGGACGGCGGACCTTCACGTCTCTCTGGGTCTGACCCATTCGGTCTTTTGTTTCCTGAAATGAATCCAGCGATTAGATGGAGCCGATCTGAACAGAAATCAAAAGAAAAACTAAAGGCTTTTGTTGTTTTTCTTCTTTTGACTTGCAGTGGTTCAGTATTTCTCTCTCTGTCTCTATAAACACATTTTGGACAAAGTGTTTTGATAGTGGAAAAAAAAAGCAGATATTATGAATATTATTGTTACACTACGATGAACTGAAACGACTTGTTGTTGGATATTTCTGTGTTTATGAGTCTGGATTGTGTTGATGTTTGCTTGATGCAAGTTGATGCAAGAAGAAAACAAAGTAAAGATTTTGTAAATATATAATTTATTCTCCCGTGACCCTGTCAGGTCATGTGACTGTGTAAAGGTTAAAAGGTTAACGCTTGCTGTTCCTCCGCACAGCCAGAGCCACGCAGACGGTTCGAGGACTGATGGGGTGAAGGTTAAAGGAACAACCTGACGTTTCAGTGACGTCTGTAGCTGTGAGATCGAACACTGGAAGCAGGGGGAACCTGTTAGCGCAGAAAGGAAAAGAAAACACTGCCCGGCCAAAAAGAAACGTCACACACTCGTATGGTTTTCTGGACCGCCTTTAAATTTGTGGTTTGTGTCGACAAACCTGTGCATAGTCACAACAAACTTATTTCCATCCAGAGTTGTGGTCATTTATTGACAGCAAGGTCTTTGATGATTGAAGATTCGAATCCCTGTCTTAAAGATTCTCAGGTCTGGACTCTGTGGTGGCCAATCTGATTTGAGCCTGATGCATCCTGGCAAATCCAATCATTCCCGTGGTCAGCTGACCTGTTCTACGTCACGTAACATTGCTGAACCATGACCTGACCAACTGAAGAAACCCCAGATCATAGTCGTCATGACCTTTGTCCAGTGCTCCAGAGTCCGGTCTTTATGCTCCCTAACAAATCAAAGCTCTTCTTTTCAATTAGCTCCACCAATAATTGCTTTCCTTAAGGGGACACAGATGTTTTGTCCCAATCACTGCGTGTGGAAATTGAATTTTTTACACGTTCACCAAACGTTGAAAGTGACAGCCGATCCCAATCGTTCAACACATTTTTCAGACCACATATCTTTTTTGAAGATGATGGTTGAACACTTTCTGGATAATTCGTAACCCAGTCCTATGATTTTCAGTAATCTTTGCTTGAAGCGATAATTTGACCTTCTAGTAAGAAAGTAACGTGTTTCCCATGACCCAGGATACGTCTTCTGACACGGTTTTTAAAAAAATAAGAAGCTACTCATATTAATCACTGGACTAATTATCCAGAGGATGGCTCTTACCCATTTGCTTATTGAACTCTAGATAGTGACTTTTTTTTTGGTTTGGCAGTGGATAAACTTTTAAGATGGCTGGTAGAGAGGAGTGTAGTATGTCGATGTGGTGGTTATCTTTGAGCGGAGTTTAAAAGACGACGCTTTTCCAGGACAGCTTTCTAAAGTTTTCTGTCAGAATTGATCCAAATTCTGCTCAAGATGGTGGAAGTTGTAAAATTAGACAGGAAGAAATACAAGTGAAGAAAGTTAAAAGAAGTTGAAGAGTAATTGCAACAGGCTGCATGCAGCTGCTTTGCCTCGTTAACAGACTGTTAATCAGTTATTGGTGGTCGCTGATAAAGCTAAAATACCAAAGATGTGCTTGTTCCTCCTTCTTTCCTTTTCTGCTGGACCGTCACAGTTTAAAGGCCAAGCTACTCATCAAAAATCAGTCAAAATCATGAAACTTGTGCTAGTTATCGAGCTAATGACACGCAGCTGCTTTCTCTTAATGTAAAATGCAAATGAATAGGTTGGAAAAGCTAAGCTAACAGTTCCCCTTTGCTTCCACAGTTTGTGCTAAGCTACATGCTAACCAGAGCCGAATCTCTGGGAAGCGTTTCGTGATTCTGCATTACACAAACATTCCTCTCAAAATGTGGAAGTTTTTCTTTAGCTTCTACCTCGCCGCCTCGCTATCTGGTGCTCAGTCTGCACGTGGCTCTGGTTGCTACAGTGTGTTTTTTAGCGTGTTTTTGGCATGCAAAGCAGTGATAATGGAAGGAAATGGCCAGTAACTCAGCCTTATATAGCTCCCATCGTCATCAACTGTTTTGATGTGGTGAAAAATGTGTTGCGTGGTCAACGCTTAAGTTGCTTCTTTTTGTTTTGAGTTTTATTGAATCTTTTCTGTTGCCAGAGATCATTGCAGACTGGATTAAACTGTTCCTCACTGGTTCTGACGACAGTATATAAAGATGGACACCATGAAGTTAGCCATTGGTTTGTGTGGAATCCATAGATACTGGATAATTAATGCTAAATAGCAAATTAAAGTAGTACAATTTCACTTAAAAAACAAGTTATAATATGTATAAGATAATTTTATTACATGAAAACTGTCAATTTGGTTCACTCATTGGATTTAAATTTGTTGGCTGTAACGTCTTTGTAGAGATTCTTCTGCCAATCAAAGTAGGGACGCCTCTAATACTGACAACTTAAGTATAACTAAGTTCACCCCACTACAGTTTTTATAAAGGTTTAAATTAGCCACAGAGACCAAACCCATGTTGTGGACCAGGGCGTGAACATGTTTGTTTCTGCTGTACACTCAGACATTTTAACATGGGAGTCTATGGAGACTCACTGTTGTAGGCAGCCTCAAGTGGCCAGTTGAGGAACTGCAGTTTAAAAACAATGGGTACTTGCTGCATGGTTTGAACTATTTAAATAAAGTTTAAATAGGCATCCGCTTCAGCCCCTGATGCGGTTTGTAGTTTCAGAGCAGTGAGATGCTGGTGCTGGTCTAGGATCAGTTATTCTGTCCAAAGAAGAGAAACTGGCTTCTGTGTAAAAACTCCTCTAGTTCTGATTTTTGCCTTACAGCTTCTGAACTCTTCTTTGTGCCAATTCAGATGGGTGTCAGTATTTAGCCTTTCAGTCTGCAGCTTTATATTTATTTGTTATTTTATTCCAAAGGTGTTATTACTGCTTTTATTGCTCTTTTTATTATTATTATTTTTACTGTTTTTGTTTTCTTCGGGGCAGTTCTGATGTGATCACAGGGGCGTTTGTGCTGTGGACTGTTAATGGCTGACGTTCCCACACCTCTGGTGTAACAGCAGCACCGTCGTGTATTCTTCTCCTTCATGTTGTACTTAGAAGTATATTGTTATTATTAATTGAGTATTGATTGATTGCAGGTTATCGGTTAGTGGCCGGCCACTGCCTTCCATGCTGTCGATGTCTGTTTCCCATCATGCCCCCTCTGTAAGAAGATAAAATGACAAGTGTTATAAATAAAATAAAAGTATAAAAACAGATGTGAAATGTCTGCCTGCATTTTCATATGTTGTCACTACTACTGCTGACATATTCAGAAACTTTATTGAAATGTTGGACAAATATTTACAGCTGAAGCAACAGCAAAAACAACAGCGCCATCCAGTGATGACAAAGAGCAATACAGCGGAGGGAGTTGAAAACAGAAAACATTGAATACAACAAGTGAATAAAAGGAATAAAAATTGAGTTGTAAATGTTACAAAGTTTATTCAGATGAATTATATACATATTGATTGTTATATTAGTGAAAGGTCAGCTCATAAAAGGGCTTAATTAAGCCAGACAAGTCACATTAGCTGTAGAAATTAAATGTACACTAACCGACTGCATCATTAGGTTCACCTGCTCAGCTCCTTGTTAGTAAAATATTTAATCAGCCAATCACGTGACAGCAAATTAATTCATTTAGACATGTAGACATAGTCAAGATTACCTACCGAAGTTCAAACTGATCCTCAGAATGAAGAAACAAGGGGAGTGAAGAGATGTTAAATGTGGCATTGTTGTTGGTCTGAGCATTTCTGGGTGGGATTTTCCCCACACGACCATCTCTTCACAGATAATGGTCTAAAAAATAGAAAATAGTGGGTAAAAATGTTCAGGTCAGAGGAGAATAACCAGACTGTTTTGATTTGACAGGAACACAAATAACAGCTCATTACAACCGAGTTTTGCAGAAGTGCATCTCTGATAGTGATTGCACAGCATGTTAAACCTTGAAGCAGAACACCGCACCACTCCAGTCAGATAACAGCAGGAAACTGAGGCTGCCATTAAAAGAGGCCCACCGAAACTGGATAATAGAAAAATTGCTCTGATGAGTCTCGATTTCTTCTGTGGTTGGGTCAGGATTTGGTCCAAACAACGTGAAAGCATGGATCCAACCTATCCTGCATAATAGCTTACAATGGGGTGGAGATATTTTTCTCGACACACAATGGACATCTGCTGACAAATCTATAGCCACTGCATGACGCAATCATGTCACTGTGGAAATGAGACATTTTAAATTTAAATTTAAAAAATATATATCATATAATGACAAAAAGCAACTCCGAGGTAAAAATCAAATCTTGAAAAAGTCATAAAATCAGGATAGAAAATCCTACTTGATGAAAAATTCCAAACAAAACTTCAAAATTGTGCATTTAAAAAGAAAAAAAAATAATAAGACAAATGTGCTTCTATAAATCAATTACAGACTGACTTCAAACTAGAAAACAAATCTCCAATCAATACTTCTGATTAGATGTAGCAGGACAGCGATGACGCTATCAGTTGTTGTGATAGCATGTCTAGAAACAAGATGACCTCCAGCAGCAGAGAGCATATCTGGACTTCTCTCAATTTATTAATTTTCGGGTCAAATTTATTTTTATGTTTAAGGTGAGCTGTAGCCTATTTTTAAAGAGACTGTAAATGTTTTTCTTACGTCATCTTACGCTGATGTAACATTTAGTCATCATTTACTCTTAACTTTCCCCGCCTGACCGCTTCGCGTCGTTCCGGCCTTCTGATTGGACACTGTCCTGCCACTCTAAGCTCGGCTGATAAGACGTGCTAGGCTAACGTCACCCGGGGGATTTCCTCCCTACCCCCCTGCTCCCTCCCCACTACCGCTTCCCGTAACAGTTTAGATAAAAACAAACAAAATGGCGGCTGCTCCTCTGTTCTGTAACGCCGAGCTTCAGCGGCAGCCGCTGATTGGTAAGGCAGCAAGCAAAGAAGCAGTTCTATTGGCTGGCGGTTAGCAGCAGGGCAGCTTATTGGTCAGCGGGAGATCAGTCCAGCCGCTCAGACCTGCCCCATGCAAACATAGAAATACAACGAGTAGAAAATACATGAAAACGTTTTTCAATTAAAAACAAAACAAAACATTATTTTATCAGATTGTTTATTGTTTAGTAATTTTTTATCAATACTATTTTTACTGCAAATTTTTAAATATTTTTTGTTGGTTTGTTTATTATTTTTAATAACCACAGTTAGGTTTTTTCTGTTAATTTACATAATAATTTAATTTTGTGGAAAAGGACCTGAACCTTTTATATTTGATATTACAAATAATTAGGTTTTGACTAATTAATTAACAAATTAAACTAAAATAATTTAATCAGTAATCTAATTTCGTTAATTTAAACAAATAAATATCATAAAATAAATATTATAAGAATAAATATCCAGTATAAAAATGGGGCACCAGACTAGAAAATATGTGCAAATATGTTTGTTTCACCGGGTTTAAAATCACCCAAAATATTAGTTTCAGGGAAAATGTTTTAGCATTAACTGACTTTTATGGACGAATTACTGGAGTAATAGATGATCTATAGGAAATAAATATCTTCAATCCGCTGACAGGCATAGGCAGACAGATTGCATATGTGCAGGCTCTGTTTAATGATTGCACCTACTCGACTGTTTTGCACCGACGGAGTTTTATTTATTCGGAAATGTGGGTCTGTTCTATGTGGTGTATTTCTGGGCTGACAGCTGTCTGTGATTCAGTCTGTCTCTTCATCTTTACTGAGAACTTGAACCTGAGTCGTCCTCGTCTTCATCATCCTCGTCTTCTCCTCCGTGTGGAGTCACCGGGTCTGGACCGGATCGAGGTTCCTCAGCTGCCCCTCTGCTGCTCTAATCCCCCCTCTGAGACTTTGATCTCGCAGTGGCTGCTGGGAGAAGCTTTTCCTTTTCTTCTTCGGAGTCCGCAGAGATGTCAGCCGTTATTCCGGAGCAGGTCCGGAGCGAGCAGGGGAGCCTCAGCGGAGCCGAGCCGGAGCAGCCGGAGGCCGGCGTACTGCAGCCGCAGACCGTGTTTGTCATCCTGGACCCGGCGGAAACTCTCAACGTGGTCCGGTGAGTCAGGAAGTTTTTTATTTTTTATTTTTTTACACTCCTTTTTATACTCCTGCCGCGGGGAGAAGCCCCTGGGTTAAAATCTATGTTATTAACTCATAATATAAGAGTAATGTCAGTGAAAGAGACTGCAGGGAGAGTTCAGGCGTGCAGTTTCCCCCCTTACACTCATGACCTGTGCTGTAAACAAGTTACTGTTTAACGTTTATTACAGGCTGGTGCTGTTAAAGCCTCCTATGAAATATTTTCGTGTAACTGTAAAATTTGAAGAGTTTAAAACGCGTTTCACTATTATTTTGTAGCCAAGTAAAGTCTAAATTTAACAGTTTATGAATGAAGTTTGGTGTGAAGTGCTCTCCGAGTACCTCAGCTCTGAAGGTGTAAAGTGCTGAGTGTGTGTGATGGGATTATGATGATCATCAAGTTGTTGTTTGCACTGCCTGACCTTCGACCTCTGACCCTCTTTGCTTGCTGATCTATTGAGTCATCTATGGAGCTGCTGCAGCTCCTGTTATTTTCCCAGGAGACACAGATAGGGCCAGCCTAGTCCTCCCCAACTTATATAAAGTATCCACACACACACACAAAAGAAAAATAACCTTTGTGTATAATCTATATTTATTTTTAAATACATATGTCATATGCCATCCCTAAAAATTCAAAGATTGTCTTCCGATTGGTTTTCTGAGGTGCAGGAAAACTTTAAATGGCTGAAGTTATGAATGGAGTTTGGTGTGTTCTCTTGATTCGTGTTAATGATAGTTGGAAAAGGTTTAAGCGCCATGACACGTCCAGTCTTGTTTTTATATCTTGGTGAGCACATCTCATTGACATAATGCTTTCCCTAGCTGCTTACCCTAACCAAAACCATAAAACATGAATGCCTAATCTTAATCCTAAGTGTAACCCTGATACTAAAACCACACGTAGAGTCTCAAACATGCCTTCAAACTCATGGCGATGGGCATTTTGTCCCCATAAGTGACTGTTGGTCCCCACAAGTATAGTAACATGCCAAATCTTTCTGTCCTCACAAAGATGTCTAAACATGTATACAAACACACACACACACACACACACACACACACAGAGAAATGATGTTGGCAGTGAGAGTGAAAGCAAAAGTAACAACAAGCAGGAGTGTTTCCCAACTGTCTGAGGGGAGGAGAGTGGAGAAGGGTGGGGGTCTTGGTTTGTGTGTGTGGTGGGGGTGGGGTTGTGTATAAGCATGGAACAGCAGGAAGTGACTCAGCAGAAAAAATTCTCTAAACACTCTCGTTTGTCCCTCTGTCTTTGTGAGGACCATCAGTCACATCATGTGTTGCAGACAGTGAGAACCTGTTGTAATGTCAAAATCTAATATGTTTGCAAAATGTACACTGAAAAGTTTTCCACAGATTCCATTATCGAAGAAGCCTTCAAGCCCTTAAAATCCTGTTATTTAAAAATTTTCTATCTTTCCAAATTCACAAATGTCCCCACTTTACATTAATAAATACATGTTTCAAAAATATGCGGCAAAAAGTTACCATTTTCCAGAGTTGTCTGAATGTCTCACAGCTGTTTCATGAAAACGTCCCCATTCTGGCCAAATGTCCCCACTTTCACAAATGTCCCTACTTTGCAAAACCTGTCTCCATTTTGAAAATGTCTTGCTTTAAAAGTTTGTGAGACGTCAAAGTTTGTCCCAACTTGATAAAGTATTTGATAAAGCTTATCCACAGAGCAGACATGTCCTCACAAGTCTTCAGTCTGATTTGGGTCCCCATAAAGGAGCCTTACGAGTACTCATGCTCATACACCCAAGCACAGAAAGTGGTAAAGCCTAACAGCTGACAGATGTTGTTCCTCCACATTCTTCTTCTCTGTATAAAAATATTTCTATCACTCTAAGAAGTGAGTCTCAAACAAACGCTGCAGTGTATCCATAACTGTGGTGAAAGGCTGGACTTTTTACTGCCATGTCTCAGGTTTGTTTACGTTTATTTCCAAACTGAACATATGAAGAGCTGTTAAAGTTGGAGGTAAAACGTCAGATAAGCAGGAGCGCACACACAATTTAAATGTAATCATTGTAACAAGGTGGAAATGACGATGGCTCTTGCACCAAATGTATCGTCTCTCTTTCCTGTACACTGAAAAATGCTGATTGGATAATTATGTCTGTCTCTCAGGCTGCTGATTGGTTGATTTTTGTCTCTGCCCCTCAGAGTGGAGTCTGGGATCGTTGCTGACATCGAGGTCGACGGTCTGCTGCCATCTGACTGCGACACCTTCTACGAAATCAAGAGTCAGCCAATCAGCATCAGGTAACACACCTCTGACCTCAAAGTATGGGTTCTACAGGTGACCCCTCCAACACCACCTACACCACCTGTTGATTATGATAACTAAAGTGTGCTGTCATTTCTGTCTTCAGTTCATCAGCAGCAGCTCCCTCCTCTTCATCTTCTTCACTGCCGTCAGTGATGTCATCGAGGTATACTTCTTCTATACCCACTTCTTCTTTCGTTCCTGTCTTCGCTCATCTCTCTGTCCTCCAGATGGCGCTCTCACACGCACTGACCTCCTTACTCCTCCTGCAGGGTTTTGATGCGTCAGGATCTGATGCGTCAGCAGGCTCTGGAGGAGGAGCATAAGGAGACGCAGAAAAAGCAACAGCAGCTTCTTCGCTTCTCCGACTCCTCCTCGCCCATCTGCGTCTCGGTGCCCTCCTCCTGCATACCTCCTGCTCAGGTCCCCGTGGAGGTGCTAAAGGTGCGCGGAGTAAACTGAAACGAGAGGTGTCAGAAAATGGACG